ATTCTTTTACATGGGGTAAATTCAATATGGCACCTGTGCACAACACACCCTCATCTCCTCTTACAGGAGACTCCTCACACCCTCCTCTGTTAAGGCATGGATGGACAATTATTTGGGCTGAAGGCCCACTTAATATGTAGACCAGCTTATTGTTTGGGGTGGGGGTTGACTTCTAATCTTGCAGAACTGCTTAAATAGAAATATTCAGGGCTTTGGGAGAGAACTGTTTTGTTGAAGGACACTTTGATATAAACCTGCTAAGCAAAACTTGTCTGAAAACAACTGTCTATTTGCTTTTTGCTTTTTCTTTTTTTTTTTCTCTTTCTTCATATTCAGAAACATTTTCTTTAGGGGCTTATACTACAAAACTTCTGTATATGAACAACTTTACTCTTGTGTGGTTTCTGGTGGTAACAACTAAACAGCATGCATAAAATGAGGGAGCCACAGATGCGAGTATTTACAGGTGTAGACCCTTTAATGTATTGTTATTTTTGTAACAGTAGTTCATAAAGACAATCGGATCAAGCAGTAAGAACAGTCTGCCTTTCTTTAAATACACTGCTGTGGAGGGGGAGGGGGTGTGAATGTGGTACGTTTTATTATGTTTTGGGGTTTTTTTAACTTTGCACTTTTCTCATGCATTATCTTACCTTACTGTTTTTGGGGGTTTGTTATCCATTGCCTTGAAACACTGTTTTTCAAGAGGAGTGAAACTGGAACTAAAGTTCAGTTTTGCAGTATGCTGTGAATGCAAAAAAAAAAATGCAGACAGAAATGACTTAAGTGTGGGAGATGATGGTTGCATGCTTTGAATCTTTATGTATTTTTCTCTTTTTTGTGATAAATGATTCTTTAATAAATCTTTTAAAGAAATGTTTACCATTAATCTTGACTGCATTTTTTTAAGTAAGTGGGGGCCAGCCTTTTTTGGCAGGCTTGTGAGATGGAGCCAGAGGTCCCTGTTATTTTAAAGAGAGAGTGTAGTGGCCAAGCCGGCTGGCCATTGAGCAAAGGGGAAACCCCTGTGTGTGACTGGGGAGATGCATGGCTGGAAGGGGTATGGTTTAGAGCCATATAAACCAGGCCTAAAGGGAAAGGGGCAGTCTGGCCCTGCATGCTGTGGGTGAAGGAGCCCCTGGGAGAGAGGGGCTTCAGGATACAGGCCCATGTACACGCAAGCAACCCGGGGGAGCTAGACAGAGCGGCTAACGGGGAAGTATGGCTTGTGGTAGGGCACTGACCCAGGATGGGTGACAGTTCAGATAGAGAAGCAGTTTGCTTGTATTTGTTATGTTAAAGTCTATGGCCAGAGGACTGAGCTGTGGCTATGGGGTGGGATGGAGGCCGTGGGGCACCTGAAAGGCACCCAGAATAGAGACCTGGAGGGCTGAGCAGCATGAGAGCAGCCTTGCCTGGGTCACAGCCTCCAGGGGCTGGGACACAAGACAGCAGCCTTGCCTAGGTCAGGGGCCTGAGAAAGATGAGACCAGGGCCAGGGGCCCAGAAGCCAAGAGCTGAGGCAGTGGACCTAGCTTGAGGGGGCATCGCCAGAGAAAAAGGTCCAATGCCAGGAAGGCTGAAGCCCCATCAAGGCCTGAGGGGGGCCAAGTGTTGGACCAGGGCTAGGGGAAGGAAGTGATACCAAATACCACTTGCAAGACAAGGGCATGGCTACAGGGGAGGACAGAGGCCACAATTAATGCACCTAAGGCATGCTGGTACCTGAGGGCAAGGCTGGTGCCAGTTGGGCATGTGGAGCACAAGACAGTTGAGGGACTGAAGCTTGATCTGGGGGAGAGGGAGGCTGCAGGTGGTTAATGCTGCTGCTGAATTTGGTGGCTTCTATGTTGGTGCTTGCCATGGGCTTTGGTAGCACTTTGCCTGCACCCCATTGGATGGGGCCCCCTGCCTGCTGACCACTTCCTATGGCCTAGCACCGATGGAGACTAGCTGCTGGAGCCTGGAAACCCCCTGCCATGTACACCTCTGTGCAGGGCATGGAAAATACTAGTTACCCAACTGCTAGAAGTGGTGCCCAGACTGGATTATGGATGCCATCCTTACTGGTGCCTCGGTTAGTGATTCCCAGAGTGCCCAAGATGCTCTCAAGGGAGCCATCAATGTTAGCACTTAGGTGTGCAAACACGATTCAGATGACAAACCTGGAGACTTCAAACAGGAATCCATAGTATGAAAAACATTCTGCCCTTTTGTGGCCTTCCTGATCTCTTTGCAACAGAAGAATCGCTCTTATTTTCCTGTAGTCAGAAGCACAAGTGAGAACTAAATGCTGAAGTTTTCTGAGGGCTGTTTTGAGCCGAATAAGGTTGAGAACCACTGCTCTGCCGCCTGCAGAACTGGACTTTACTGAGGGCTGTGGGAATCTGGCCTGTGACAGGACTATGGAGTTGAGGGTACCTGTGGGCTGGCTACTGTGTGAAATCCAGGAGAGCAGAGAGTAGCACAAAGAGTTGTTTGGAGGTTCAAACTTCACAAGTGCCTTCCTGGGCACTTGACTGTTCTGCTGTTTTGGGGGTGATTAGGGGGTCGGGAGTACCTGAAGCACTGTCCAAGTGGGTGACAATAAAGGACAGCAGTCAACATCTGCCCAGCCCAGCAGGGAAAAATGAAGGAGGCAAACCTCTGTAGCCTTTGCTAAATGTACACGTAGGTTTGTTCTAGCGCTAGAGAACCCTGTCTTATTCCCCACTTGGGCTGGATGGACAGTGCTCTGTTTGTCCATGGGCTGGATCTGGCAAGTGCAATGGCAAGGGAGGTGCCAGATCTGGCTGCACGGGGGGAGGAGGGAGTGTGGTCTGTCTCCAACCTGATTGCATGGGGGAAGGGGGCATGGCCTGGTCCTGATCCAGCCATGCAGGGGGGAAAGAGGCATGATCTGGCCCCTGGATGGGGAGGGGACAAGGTTTGGTAACCAGGCAGCTGGGAAAGGGTGGCTGTATTACTTGCCACTGCTCCCCCACCACCACATTTCCCAAATAGTGGGGAGCTGTGCAGGCTGTGTACCATGGCTGTGTGGATTGAATTTGTCTTGTGGGACAGAGGTTGAACCCAAGGCGTGCGCTTACACACGTGCGCAGGCTTCTTTGGAAAATATTTTCTGCCATAAGCCCCTGGGGGATGCAGGGGGGACAACCTGAGCTACCAAAGGCTGGGCAGCCAGTGGCTGTGTGTGGCCGCTTTGGGCCTGTGTTTCCTGAAGCTGACGATCCCACCTGGCCGTGTGCCGTGGTTCCCAACCTTTCCAGGCTCCTGTCAGAAAATGCCAGCTCTTTGCTTTCACACTTTTTTTTTTTTGGCTATGGGGGGAAAAAACCCACTAGAGCCACTCTTCTGTTGCAGAGCAGCTCAGCAAGCCCACAGCTAGCCAGAAGGGTTTGGACACTGCATTTGCCTATTGCGAGGTGTACTGATTGCAGCAGGAGAGTGCCATTGCACTCCAGAAACCGCGCCAGAGGTGAGAGTTTTGTTGGGGAAAAAACCTTTTATTGGACCAACCCTGTTGCTCCATAGTGGGCCCAGGCAAAGCTATCATAGAAAACGAGGCTTGGAAAGGACCAGGACCTCAATGCAATGAGAAAAGTCCGATAACTTTAACAGAGCCCTGTTTCATTTAGCTACCTCTAGGTAACCCGGTGCATTTGTCTTTCCAGATCCATCCTAGACGATGAGGGCTGGAAGGGACCTCGGGAGGCCACCTAATCCAACCCCTGCTCAAAGCATCACCCCAGCCAAGGCTTTGTCTAGCCGGGTTTGACAGCCTCCGACGAGGGGGAGCCCACCACCCCTCTGGGCAGCCTGGTTTAGTGCTTCACCACCCGCCCAGGGAGGAAGCTTTCCCCTTGCCGCAGACAGCCCCGCTCCGTCGCCTCGGGGGGAGCTGACGGAGGATCCCTGCTCCGGCTTGTCTGCTACACGCAGCCCCAGCTCCTCGCCAGCCACGTCCCGCAGCCCCCTCACCATTTTCGTTGCCCCCCCCACGTCCTCTGCCCCCATCCTGGGGGCCACCCCCGACCCCTGAGCAAGCCGCGGGCTTCTGTGGTGATCCCGCCCCGCCCCCCCGGAGCCGCCTCCCGCCGGGCGCGGAGCTTTAAGGGCGCGGGGCCGG